TCCACATAGCATCGCAGCGGGGCCTCTGATGGGAGCGATGCAGTCTCAGCTTTATCGACGCTCAGAGTCAGCCACCACTCTCGCCCTCTTTGAATCGTATAGCAATGCGGCATGGGCTTTTGTTGTACATGCTTGTCACCGCTGTTCACACAGTCTTGCTGGCACAGCTAATACGCCCGGCCTCTCATGCGCGCAACAGCATCACCGCTTTGCAATGAAGGGCAGCAAGCTGAGCTGCCTAAAGACATTTGATTTGCCTGACTGCTTCCTAGCTGAGCTGCTGCAACACATCACTTGCGTTTGACACCTTGTCAGCTCCATTGTATCGACCACCCGTCATTTATGATTCATGTGCCCTCCTGTGCCAGTCTGGCAGCAACACCTCTCTCTGCCTCAGAGAATTGTATGAGACATGGGCCAAAAGTGGCTGCTGTATTGAGTCCCCGAGACGCTACTCGAGGTTTCGCAGCGCTCCAGCGATGGCATTCTTCCTCGCAGAAGTTGTGGTTGTCCAGGCCACATCTTTGAGTGTTGGTGGTGCTGCTGGCATCAGAGTAGGGGGGATGCCATGAGTGGTACGCACAAATAGGTGCTGCTTGCTGTCTAGCACAAAGCGCGATTCGCGACTGCTTGTGGAGGTCTCCATGCAGCCCTCGCGGGTTTTGGCGTGCGTGCGTGCAGCCTCGTGTAGCTCGCAGATCCCATCGTCGAGCGCCAATCACATTCAACTCGCCATTGTGATTGTGATTCTTGACTGCTTCACCATATCTCGGCGCTCGCCTCAGCCAGCTCTCGAGTCTCGCCCCTCTGTCTTCGCAGACACGTCACCTTCACCACCCAATGGTAGCCTCACAAGCTAGAGTCGAACAACAAACTAAATCGTGCAGATCGCGACTTGTGGGTACACATCAGCCTTTCGGATCAGAGTTCAGCTTCGATGCAACGAAGCACAAGGGGCATTGCATTCTGCTCGAAGGTGGCAAGCGAGTGGGGAAGGGATGGCAAGCTTGCTGGAGCTACCTCTGGAGCTGTTTGAAGCCCTCGTCGCCCTCCTCCTGTCTTTGGGTCGACTTTGCGATGCTGCCAAGTTGACGCAAGTGAGTGTGCTCTTGTAACCCTTCCGCCGTCCGCATCGCAAGCCTGCTCACGTGCTGCCTGTCCAATTGCACAACACAGACGTGCAGGGCTCTGCGCTTCACTGACTCTTCGAGACGAGTCAGCTATCTCCGAGCACGTACTCGTCTCTGCTTGTCCGTCGACGAGACTGCCGAGACACATTTACAACATGCGACCAGAGCTCTCTTGAGCTCCAGCTGGCCCCACGCCGTTCCCGAATCAGGCGATGCAGCACTGCTTGGTCCTTCCTCCTCCAGGTACGAAGGCACACCGCATGGAGCCAGACCCAGAGGAACACCTTTGCTGCGCAGGGACAGGGTGTACGATCTGTCCATGGACGGAAGAGTGCTCCTTGCTCAGCAACTCGCCCCACGTATCGCGAGGGATGACGACGAGATCTGTGCACCGCCCTCCGAGGAGCGTGTGGAGAGCATCACCGGCATACATCTACCTTCACCTGCCAAGACCTATTCGGTCGATGCCAAGGCCGACATGGCAGTCACCGTCTCTGTGCGGAAGAGAGGGATCGATGTTGAGGGAAACGTATTGAGGCAGATTCGCGTGAATGCCATTGAGCTAAGGAGCGGCCGCTTGTTAAAGTCTTTCAATCAGGAGCCGAGCTTGTTCGATCCCAGCGAGGTCAGGGTGGAGGTCCATGGCTCTTCTGTACTCTTGCGGCAAGGAAATTTGGCTGAAGTTCGGCGACTCGCTTGGCAAGGGGAGGATGATTTCAACTCGGAAATCAAGACCGCCTGGCCCCTCATTTGGGCTCCAAAGGTCATCTCTTCAAGTCAGCGTCTCCTTTGCGCACACTTGCTCTCAGATTCCGTCTTGATGCTCATCAGACCCGCTCCGGCCACCAGCGATCACGGTCTGGACTGGGGGAGCACGTTGGAGATCTACAATCTGCATCAGAGCCAGCCCCTTGTTGCGGAGATTCGTCTGCCCATCCGGGCTAGACCCGTGCCTGGTTTGAGCTACATCAAATGCGGAGCTTCGATCGGCGACAAGTCAAATTTGCGAGGCCAAAGGCGAAACGCACTGATGCTCATCTGCGTGGAAGGCATGATCTGGCAAGCCGAGCTCGAGTCCTTCTTGGATCTGATCTATCCTGGCACAGCTTTGGCCCTCTACACACCTGGCCAGCCGACGTACCCGATTCTAGATGCCTCGTGGGTCAAGGCCCACATGTCGCGATTCTCGCTTTGCATCAGCGAGGGTGCGCCCGTCGCGGAGACCAGCGTCTCGGGATTTCGCATGGTAGCGATCTGGCGGACAGCTCGTCAGACGGCAGGCTACATTCGATTCGTCGATCTTACACCTCCGCAAGCAGCGGCCGATGGCGAAGGCAGATCTTCGAGGCGCGATGAGATCATGACTCGAGGTGGTGGCAAAGAGGCGGCCATCTTCAGGACATGGTGGGCGGAGAAGGAACGGCCTTTCATCTACTATGACCACGCTTTCGAGGACTATCTACCAGACCAGAATGTGCAGCATACGTCTGTCATGTTGGGTGGTGCAAGATTGCTGCTGAGCTCTGCGCGAGCTGTCGCAACACCTTACAGATCTGACGACATTGCTGATGTGACGCTCGGCGAACATTTGGTCGAGGCAGCCGAGTCCTTTTTGGAAGGCGTGGTCGAGTCCGCATCTCGAGATGAGGAGGCTTGGGAGGTCACCGAAATGGACGGAGGGCGTGCCGGTACATTTCCTTTCGCTGCAGTCTGGCTAATCTGACATGAGCTTGTCCTGTATCACTAATTCTATCTTTATGCAGTCCTTGACTTTTGAGCAAGCAGCACACTGTGCCGTGTGCCTAGAGACAGGCAAGACTTGGAATCGTTGAGCATGCGGGAAAAGTATTCGATTTTGTTTCAAGTACAAGTACACGTGCTCTGCCGTTGCGGCAACACTGTGCGGTCGTTGGTTCTACGCAGCTTGAGCCTGAGACAGGAACTTTGTCAATTCTAGACGCGAAAGGATATCGCCTGGTGAGCCATTGATCACCAGAGAGTAGGACGCGGTCAAACTCGCTGTAGACTTACGGTCCAGTTGCAAGTCTTCTCTGATGACAGTCGCTTTGATGTCATTGTCAACGTTGGCAGGTACAATGACCTTTCCACCTTCCAACACCCAGCCTGGTTGCTTCGAGATGAAGTTGGATAATTCCGAGCCTGCCAGCCAGGATGCGAGTGACGGAGGCATCAGCGACAGCCGCAGTGGCACTTGGTTGAAATGTACGCTCTTGATTCGCGTGCGCAGACTCACCCCTGAGGTTGAGGTAAGAGGCGAGCCTTTCAGAGCTGATGGCTCTGAATGCGCCTTTGACGTTGTAAAGCGCCACGGCTCTGATGGCATCGTCAAATCTGGTCAAGCCTTGCAATACACCAGCGACATCCTCATTCTCTGGGTTTGCCAGAGCAGCCCAAAACTCTCTGAATTTGGCGCTTTGCAGTAGGGAGTTGAGCTTCGCCAGCTTGACGATGAGCGCATCGGTGATCAGACCAGCTGAAGATTGTGTGGCAGAGGCGCTCGAAGCGTCTTTGGACTTGTCAGCCCCGCTGGCCGCGTCTGCAGGTGTTGGGTCCGCTCCGGTGTCCGTCGACTCTGCTGCTGCTCCTTCGCCCTCCTGGGGCTTGGCACTCAGAACGTCGACGGGCGCTTCGCCAAGAAGTGCCAAACAGAGCGAAAAGTCGGTTCTAGGCGCGGCTGTCAAGGCCTTGGCCAAGATCGAGATTGCCACTCCGTAGTCAAAGTCTGTTGGGTTGAATTGAAAGCTGCGCCGCGCACGGGAATTCCGGGGCTCGAAGCGTCAGCGTTCCGAGTGTTTGAGCAGGCATCGCCGTCTTCTTTGCTGTCGCCCTGCGTCCACACCCTAACTCGACGAATCGGCGCCAGCCATGCATCGATCAGATAGAGCTAATAACGTTTCCTCTCATCTACGTAATGGGTAATCAGCCCAGAAACGCTCGACAATTTGGGTATATGATTGCACATCACTTCGCGCGGCATGACTGCCTGCTGTACTAGCGTAGCGCGTGCCACAAGCCACGCTCCGCAGTCCCGCCCAAATTCCGCACCTTGTCGCTCTCTCCTTACCTGCGCAACACGCCTCAGGAACGCTTGCGCTTGTCTCAGAGCCCACACTGCTACAGCAGCAGCAGCAGCAGCAGCTAGCCCACCCAGGGGACCCAACGCTGCTTGAAGCACATTTGCCACTCACAGTTTGAGGATGGCTAGATTGGCAAGGCAGTCGTAGGTGCCCTCGTCGAGCTGCTGCTGCAAGTACTCGTTCAGTACCGCGAGATTCTGAGGGTTATACCTGTCGACGCCCGAGATGATCTGGTTGATGTGCTCCGGTCTGAAGGAGGGGCTGGTCTGCAGAGGAGGAGCAACAGAGAACCACGGGTGAATGTCAGCCTGACGCTCTTCGGACGCAGTCGACGTAGGATAAATGCCGCGATGGGAAAGAGGACGCACCCATTCTGAGGTTTGAGCAGCCGGTGCTGCAGCCAGCGCTGCAGAAACCGTGTCTGTGGTCATTGCTGAGCTGGTCTGAATGTCAAGTGTCGTTGTACAATGAGGTGTGCGCTTCAGCTTCGCTTTGTACGAGCGACGTATGGGAGACGCGTATACCGACAACAGCGATCGATGCTCAAGAAGAAATCAATGGCGAATTCGAATCTGAAATGAGTGTGATGTGTGACAACGGCGCACCACGTGGCTCTGGCCAATAATGTGTGAACTGAAGCACATGCATGCAACCCGCACGAGAGTTGCGAGCGCATCCTCGCGTGCGCGGCCGTATACGCGTGCGTGTGCGCGCGTCCGGTGAAAAACGGAGGTCTTTGCTGGGCATCATCACGTGCTCGTGCATACACCGCAAACGCGCTCAAACGCAATCCATCACCCAACACGCCGTCGCGCCGTTGCACCGAGCCTTGCGCCGCGCCGTGTTGAGCAGAGCGGCAGGAACGTTCGCGGCAGAAGGAC